AAACTAATGTTAGGTACATTTTTTTTTATTTTTGTTGTTGATTTTTCAAGACGAAAAAATCAAGGGGCTGGCCGTCTGCCGCCCCTTTTGGTTGGCCCGGGGTTTAGGCCCCTCTTCGCGCTCCACGCTATGCCTGTAGTATTCCTTACTTAAAAAGATAAAACAGATGTTTAACGGAAAGAAATTTGGATAGTCATTTTCCATAGCAACGAGGTACTCGTATCGCAGGATACGATATTGATATTGATTATAAATTTGCTCTTTACTATGGCTTTGTAAGTAGCAATTTTATAATAAAAATTTATCATTGCCTTGCCTTTATTCCATTACTAACTGTGCCCGCAGTTTCACTCACATGAGTTTTATAGCTCATCTGATATTTTGATGTATAAAGCTATATTACTGTAAAATTTCATTAAAATCCGTTCAGTAGTTTTTGCGTGAAAGAGTAACAAACATTCTTCCATCCATCCATCTATCCATTCATGCTCACAAACTTTCTCGTTTATAATATTCGTAAGATTTAGGATGGCGCAGTATACCATATTCTTCCACTGGTCCTCATCGGCCGTGTATATCTGAGCTTACTCTCCTCTTATACAAATAAACTTTCATACAATCCATCCACCTTTTTTTCGGTTGTCCTCTCCCTTTCCACCGATCCACGTTTATGATAAATACTTTCTTTAAAACTTGGTACTTGCTTTTCCCCATAACATGCCCATACCAAGTCAATCTGTCACTTCGCAACTTGTCTATAACTGTCGCAACTTTAAAACTTCCTCATATATTACATTACTTATAATAAAAATTAATATTTGAAGGTTATTTAAAATTCAACTGGTATATAAAGAATGGCTCTACGTCGTATAAATTTTGCAATTAAATCAGTACACATTCCTATAATACTGAGCGACCTTGAACAAAAAGCAGGAATTATAAAAGGTGACGGTGCATAGCTACTGATTGTGATTACAGGCTGAAGCCCACAAGTTTTCCAATTAGAATGTTTTCATGGCCCGCGGCACTACCGTTAATGGCTTCGCTTTCGTACCTGCATAACTATTTGCCATTGTTTGTACGCGGTCATAACTTTACCTACGTGTACCATGACTCTGAAAACTACGAATATCTATGTGTGTGTGTTTCTATGTGCTAGTTTTTTGTTATTTTATGTATGATATTTATATAACCGTCAGTTAGTATGAAGATTGTATGTAATAAACAATTAATATGTAATATTTATTATTGTCTACCTATTTTTAATCAATAATTTCAGAGCCGGTATTGTTATTATCGGCTGTCTACATTTTTTTACTTTTATTTAGATAATGTGATACAGTAATTAAGCGGTGCGAGAAGCGCGGAGAAATCTTAGAGATCAGATTTGCATTCTTTCTAAACGATACGATACGATGGTTTATAAACAACACACCGGTTACATACCTAGTTATACATATACCTAATTATGTTTGCACATATATATAATCCTTGCACCGTAAAGGTTTTATCTTCTTATCACTTAATAAAGCGATGGCCAACATCATTCTTTAGTATAGAAATAATAAAAACCGTATTCAAATAAATACAAAGCTCTTTTGAATAGTTATACTTTTGTTTTTAAACTATATATTTTTAGCATCTTATGAATATTTTTTTTACCACTATACCTACCATCCGGTTTAGCTACCTACTTCAGTTGAGAATAACTGGCAAGAAGCTCAACTACTACATTTTTTTAAATCAAATATATAAAGAAATAACCCTGGACAATTAACATAGCGCCATCTAGTCCCACGGTAAGCGGAGCTTGTGTTATGGTTACTAGATAACTGATATAAAGACTCAGATAGATTTTTTGTAAATATATATATAATATACATAGAAAACACCGAGACCGATACAAACAATAATATTCATGAATACAAATATTCGCGCCGTGCGAGGAATCGATCTGGCGACCATCTAAAGTAAAGCGGTGGGCTCAACTACTACATAATAGTATTTTAAAAGACTGTCGAAGCAGTTTTTTAAAATACTACTTTAAATGTGTTCATTTTAAAAATGTTTAATATTGAACCTAATAACTTTTATATAACTAAGAAAACGTATTTAATACAATGACAGTATTAAAAGCGATTGTAATGTGAAAATTTGTCGAGTAATTTATGGCGCTGAATATTCACCCTCTCCGGTCTCTCATTAGAGGAACAGGTGTTTTGCAAGCTCCGAATGAACTTAATTCGCTTAAAGAAATATGAAGTCATTAGGCTGAGAATTTATTGAATGTTACCGTAACAAAGCTGACATTTTTGGATCACTGCTACAGGTAGACTTGTATAAATTTTGTATATTGTGACTTCCTTCAAATTAAAATATATTATTGTTTGCAGAATACAGGTGCTTAAAAATATTAAACAATATTTATTTAAATTTCTTATTTATTTCATTCAGGCTACTAATTTCCCATAATATGGGAAATTAGTAGCCTGAAATACCTATAGACTATTGAATAATATTTAAATTAATATAAAATAGTGGTTACAGCGCTGTAGACGGTAATCTGCCACGGTAGACACATCCCACCCCCTTAAGCCAGTAGTCCCTCATCATGAGCGGTGATCAACATGCTGGTAGGAACCCATTATGTCCAGTGAATTCAACTTTGGATACAGGCGTGCAAACTTTATACATTATTATCTTATGTCATTCCGATATTGTATCAATAATTAAAATAAAATAACAAACATTTTTACGCAGTTAAAAAAAAATAATAAGGAACTAATTGAGTCTGTACCGGTAGATATTTGGGCCAAAATAAATGTAATGCAACGCTATGAATGATTTCTAATTCTCTATGCTCAGATGAAATCATTTCCTTTTCCGTCCTGACGAAATCATCTCATTCGTTCAATTCACCCCATCAGCTGCAAGATTCTCCAATTTGAAAATAGTAGACTTGTATGAGATCACAGGATAGATATATAAATATATTTCCGGAATAGCAATGTGTAGTATTGTGGACTTGACATGATAATGTGATATCTGTAGTGCTGTTCATGTATGTATATAACGGCGATGTTTGCCATTCGAATTACATAAAAAATCTTAATCCATATATATTTTAAGTTGTCTTATGATTAATGCGAAAATAATTACTTAAAATTCATCATCATCATCATTGCCTTGCCTTTATCCCATTATTTGGGGTCGGCGCAGTATGTCATTCTCTTCCACTGCTCTCTATCGGTCGTCATATCTGAACAAACTCTTCTTTTATTCATATCATCTTTCACACAATCCATTCATCTTTTCTTAGGACGTCCCCTCCCTTTACATCCATCCACATTCATATTATACACTTTCCATAAGACATGGTTCTCGTTCCTCCGCATAAAATGCATAATTATTTAAAACTGTACATTATTTATGTTCTAGAAGCTACTTATTATCAATGCCTAAAACTATATAGAAAATTGTTACTAATGGAAACTAGGGACCCCATTGCTAACAACGTACCTTGCCAGGTCGACCTCCACGTGTTTCCCCTAGGAACCACCGTGATCGATTTCTGGTGAATCTACAACAATGAGCTAACTAACCTTATACTCCCACTGGTACACCAGCGTGTTCCGTTAGGTCAAGCAAGTATACCATTCCATTATCATCCATAAAAAATATCGACAAAAAGGAGCGCTTGAATAACAATTCTATAACACAATAAAGCACAAAATCCAGAACAATATTCTATTAAACAACTTTTGCTATATAATCCCAGAGATGCCGTCCTAGTTTCGTTCTGTGCCTCAATTTTGAATAATTTATTGTCTCACAATGTGACTCCGTGACTAAATTATTTAGGGCCTCTTTTTCTTATCTTGAATCTGCAAAATGTCGGTATCTAAAATTAAACATTCAGTAGAATTTAGTGACGCCCTATTTATTAGTAAAACGAAATCGAATTATTCAAAATGCAATTCGTTTTATCGAGTATTAATCAAGTTGCAATTTATTTTATGTATTCAGTACAATTGAATATCGAACGTAATGTTAATTGCGGACGGCATGTTTTATTCTGTGCAATGAATTTTCCATTGTTAAAGTTTATTTGACTGAATATTTTACTATTCCATTTGAACAATGGTGAAGGGAAATGGTATAACTAAAAATTAATATGTAAATTCAATAATGGCCCACTGTAAAGTGAATTTTCACTGAGTTATTTAGGAAGTAAAGTATTAGATACTGAAATATAAATGCTATCTGTCTGTTTGGTACTTTATCACGACTAAATGACTGAATAATTTAACGCTAACATTGATTGTTTTACGGAGACGGCCATCTTAAAAAAATCAGTCGGCGGCGTCGGTAATGCCCAGTATAATAATTCGAATAAACTAAATAACCGAATTATTCGAATATTTTTAGCAACAATCGCCTACCGTAAAGTGGATTTCTTCTTCATTTTGTATTCAATACCGGTATTGTGGCTTCAGAGTATGCGTCTTGATTGATAGCCTATTATGTTCCGAATTAAATATTATAATAGGAGATTACACGTAAGCTTGCTATTATTAAAGGGATTTATTAAGAATATAGAACGAAACATATTACAATGTAATCAATGTAATGCTACTTTAAACTGTTGCTTCTCATAAAATATTTATGAGATCTTAAAGAAAATTGTTTGATATTTTTAATATAATTCTTTATACTCTTCTCACGGCAAATCTCTTATAGAGTAGATAGGCATAGTCAACTGAAGGGCTTCCTTTATTTTCACTAAACACTTTCCCGATACCTTAAAAATCACTTGGTTATGTATTTCGTTTGTTTCATTTATTTATGAAATATTAATAAAAAGTACAAAATTATTTATTTTCGGTAATAGAATTAATTGATTAAGATTAATCGGTATTAATTAACTGGTAAAATGGATTTCCTCAAAATAATACCTAATTCGATAAAATATAAAAAAACGGTGTCTATATTTTCTACAGGACGCATCAGGAAAGTACATGGCAACACAGAAACATCTCGTGAAGGAGAGTCCAGAGATGCTGGCCATCGCCAACTGGACCGGCCAAGTGCCACGGCGGCCGACACTGCCACCGGGGGCGAAGCTATCTCAGCTCATGGCATTAGGATCCAGGCGGGACCCTGGACAAGTTGTATGGATGTTGGCCAAATCAGACGCCGAGATGAAGTAAGTAAAATTAATTTAGTAGATACATACAGATAATATGTAAATACTATATTTATATTTCTATTGAGGGTCACGTGATAACGTGATATCTATAGTGCTGTTCAGATATGTGGCGACCCTGTTTGTTATTTCTATAATTATAATATACTATAATTTTAAATTCCCGTGTGAGTACTGCGGACATAGCAACTGTTTTAAAATGTTATATTTTTTCTTTTCTATATATTGTCGATGCCTAAAAGAAGGAAAAAGGGAATTATGGCAAATGGGAACTAGAGACCCCATTCTAATGTACCTTATCAGATCGACCTCCACACGATTCTCTTGGAAACCATCGTAGTTAATTTCTGGCGAATCTGCCATAATGGGCTAACCTTATAGGCTAATTAACTTCACTGAGATAAAGTGAATAAAATTGTTTATTTAGTAGATACATCCAAATAATATGTAAGTACTATATTTGTTTTGACGATGTATACGTGTTGAAGTTCTTCTGAACGACTAGAGTTAATTTTCAAAATTTTGTAAGCTTTGTATGGGTTTCTTGAATCGCTTAGTCCAGTTAAAAATAGCGTGGGAAAAGTGCTAACATTATCTATAATTAAGATTGTATTTTAAAATACAATAAAGAATATATATGTATATATACATATATATAATTAGTTAAGTGTTCATTGATGAATACTAAAATAAATAAATAATATAACAATTTTCACTTTTAATAATGTGCATATAAAGATTAATAATAAATTAAACACGTGATTATACAGTTTATATAATTTAAAATTCATATTTTAATTCTATTTTGTTTCTCGGAAAGAGTGGTTCAGTGTCACGAATATTACCATTTGTTTACGACTCCGCATACCCTTTCCGACTAATCATACATAAGTGGCACTTCTATTTATTTTCATTTATCATATCCAAACATTTCATATATCATTAGACGTTCAGTAGACATCTCTCAAACGTCAAATAAAGTCCAAAGTCGTCGAATTATGGAGGAGTTCCCAAGAAACATTCACAGAACACCATCGTCGATAAATATACTCGTTTATCCCCCTGGATCCATTTGTTGTTCTTCCCATTTCCACGGGGACTTCACGGCACTTTCATTGAGATATCTTGTCCCTTACTAGGTGACAGCGATTTTTTTTATTATATAACTGAAGTGGCAAAATTGAATTAATATTTAGTAAAATTGATTGATTGGGAAGTGCCAAGAGCTGTCCTAATGAATAACTAACCCGAATTTTAAACTCCAGAAAAATCAAGTACATGACGATTTATATTATTCTCCAGTGATAACATCGATCATAATTTATACTACAATAATTCGAGAAACTGTGGTAAAGGTTCCACTTGCCATATTAGACTTAAAATATACAAAAGGGTATATGAGTGTGTCAAGTATTACGTTCAACTTGATGACTATTGTAGTCATCAAGAGGCATTGGCCTCTAACTATCCCATTTGGGATTACAATCGTAATAGTTAAGTATTTGATAGATTCATGAGATTAATGTTCAATACATATGAGTACATTTTTCTAGAATAGTCAGTTAGTAAGATTTATATGTTACCATATAAATCTTACTAGCTGACCCGCACAATTTCGTCATCACACTTACTTTCATTATATTATATAGCCCAATTTACATAATATCTTTTTAAATTTTAGCCTCTTTTATTTGATGTATAAGCTACATTATTATAAAGTTTTACCTAAATCTGTTGTAGTATAACAAACATCCAACCATCCGTCTATACTCAAAATTTTTCGCGTTTATAAATAATAATTGTAAGAAGTAAGACTATAAAAGAGTAAAAAATCGACAAAGTCACAAAAGGCAAAAAATATCTTTTGTGTTTAAAAGAAAGAGACAGAATCAAGTTCTAATTTTAAATATATTGAAACGTCAAAGTCATCAAAATCTACACATCGTAATCGAGTTACTATAGTAGGGTATTGCCATTACCCGATATACGATTAGGTGGGCTTGGACGGAGGTAATATAAAACAAAAATATTGTTATTACTTTCCTCCGAGTTCGGCAATACAGGAAGTATATCGGGATCTCCACAATCCGATGTAAATATGAATTAAATTCTGCTTTCTGAACATAACTGAATTATTTATCCGTACTAAGAAAAAGTTTCGAGAAACTCTCGAAAGATAATATTTCCTTCCGCCATTCATGTATTTCGTTTTCGAAGTTTTCGACTGAACTGTGTTTGATTGAGGATATTTTTCATGTGACTGAAATGGTAAACAAATTGAAGGCCCACCTGATGGAAAGTGGTGATATAGGTCGCCACTTTCCATCAGATGGGCCTTCAATTTGTTGCATGAGCAGCACCAGAGAACAGACAGGGTATCACAGTACAGTACATTGGAAATTCAGTTATTGATGTGAACAAATTTAAGACCCATCATTTTACGTTTATATATAGTATATATACTATATATAAACGCTATATATGTACTATATAGGGACTTTATTCAAAGTTATTGTGACGTACATTATACCTTCGTCCAATACTGACATTCCCTTCCACCCTAAATATGCGGACAAGCCGCACAGCGCCGTCTAACCCCAAGCCACAGATAACATATGCCCAAGCTAAGCAGAGCTTGTCTTATGGGTACTAAACGACTGATAGAAATATATACATGCACTTTTTTTAAATACATACGTATATTATATACATAGAAAACACGCATATCGATACAAACAACATACTTTTGTACCGTGCGAGAATTAAACCCGTGAACACTTGAAGTAAATCGGGGTACAAAACCTTTAGACCACCTAGCCTTTTAATTACGTTTAAAAAAATCTAGCAATAATAAATAAATATATAGTACATACTATATATATAAAGCTAGCTGTTCCGGCAAACGTTGTTTTGCCTTAAATTAAAAAAAATAATTTAGGGGTGGACTACCCCTAACATTTAGGGGGATGAAAAATAGATGTTGGCCGATTCTCAGACCTACTCAATACGCTCATAAAATTTCATGAGATTCGGTCAAGCCGTTTCGGAGGAGTATGGGAACGAAAACTGTGACACGAGAATTTTATATATAAGATTACATTGGTAAATTAAAACAAGCAATAGAATTATAAAAAGGTGTTCAGAATTGGCAAAAATATCATGATGAATTGTTATACGTTTCAACCCTTATTTATTTAAAGCACATTCATAAATTGTAACTTGAGTGCGTTAGAAACTTATTAGGCAATAGGTATACATAACTGGTATTATTTACTTGCAAGCCACATGAATGATGGATACAGCGAAATTAATTTCCGTTCGTTCGGCTAATTATACAGGTCTTACTCTATTCTCGTCCTTACTGCTAGGTGTTTAAGTGTATAATCGCTTGTGACATTATTGCTTAATGAATCCTAACAATCATTAATAACGTCGACTGATACTTAGAACCAATAACCCTTCGGGTTCCAGACTGCTCTGCTTCAAATAGTTTGTTACTATGCAAGCAGACACTGTTTATATATTTTAGGGTTCCGTATTCCAATAATTTTTTTTCAATAAATAAACAAATATGCTGAAATATTAACACAGCGCCTTTTAGTCTCACGGTAAGCAGAGTTTGTGTTGTAGGTACTAGGCAACATATATAAATACTTAGATTTTTTTTATAAATACATACATAATATATATAGAGAACATCCAGACCGCCACAAACAATCATTCTCATGAATACAAATGTTTGTACAAATCAAAGCGGTGTCCTATACCGCTACACCACCAAGGCTGTTAAATAATTCCAAACATTAAAAAATATTGGCCTATCGTGACGAATTAACCACTATGGTTTCCAGGGCGACCCCGTGGAGGTCAACCTACATTACTAGCAAAGGGCTTTTTTTAAACGATAATAATGTGTTGGTGCACCAGCATATACTGTTATCGCAGGTATCCACCTGTGCGTGAAGGTCAACCTTACACGGTACATTTCTAGCAATGGGGTTATTAGTCCACATTACTAACAATCCCCTTTCCTCAAGCTAGTAATGGCGTTATTAGTCAACATTACTAACAATCCCCTTTCATCAAGCTAGTAATAGGGTTATTAGTCCACATTATTAACAATCCCCTTTCCTCAAGCTAGTAATGGCGTTATTAGTCCACATTACTAACAATCCCCTTTCCTCAAGCTAGTAATGGGGTTATTAGTCAACATTACTAACAATCCCCTTTCCTCAAGCTAGTAATAGGGTTATTAGTCCACATTATTAACAATCCCCTTTCATCAAGCTAGTAATAGGGTTATTAGTCCACATTATTAACAATCCCCTTTCCTCAAGCTAGTAATGGGGTTATTAGTCCACATTACTAACAATCCCCTTTCCTCAAGCTAGTAATAGGGTTATTAGTCCACATTATTAACAATCCCCTTTCATCAAGCTAGTAATGGGGTTATTAGTCCACATTACTGAGAATCCCCTTTCCTCAAGTTAGTAATGGGGTTACTAGTCAACATTACTAACAATCCCCTTTCCCCCGCTATTAATGGTTTTTTTATGTATGATAATGGAATGGTGCATCCGCCTGCGCTAGCGGTTTACGCTGGCGGGGCACCAGTGGAGGATGATAAGATAATAATGAGGTTCGATCTCTGTGATAAATTCACCAGAAATTTATCACGATGGTTTCCAAGGGAAACCGCGTGGAGGTCTACCTGACAATGTACCATACATTGCTAGCAATGAGATCATCAGTCCACATCACTAACAACCCCCATTTCCCCGCTGTTAATGGGGTTATTAGTCCACATTACTAACAACCTCCTTCCCCTAACAGAGCATTTGAATTAGATGGCCGCTGAGTAATGTACAGACTTCAGAACAGAAGGGTCCAAATACAACCCTCTCGTTGCGGTAGTACAGTTAATCTATTTGCGTGTATAAATTCTGACTAAATGAGATTGGAACTCGACATTCACAGGTAGGGTGTAAATCCACTACACA